TCTCCACTTTCTGCCCCCCACCCTTACCTCCTTTGCCCCCTCCTCTGGGCTCCTGACTCTTTCTGCAACCTGTCTACTGCTACTCCTTGGCTCCTTCTTAGTGCTGTCTTTCAGCCACACCCCTGATCTCCAGGTAGGAAAGATCTACGCCTAGATTTCTCGGACATTAAAGGCGAACAATCTCGGAGGTCCTGTGTGTAAGTTACGCACGTTAAAGATCCATTGGTGCTCCAAGATCGATAAGAGTAGGCTTCGGCCGCCACCCGGGCAAAATTCAAAATGTCCTACCAACCGAAAATGTTTAATGCGTCCCTCGCGCTCATATCACCTTATGAAGTTGCGAGCCCTGTATGTGTAAAACTCTTACCAAACAAACAAACAAAAAAGTAGACAAGCACCAGGCTTATACAGCTTGTTGCTGCCCTGGCCTCTTTCTCCCTTGTCTCTCAATTCATTTCCCCCTATTTCTATGAGCAAACGTTTGGGTAGATGGGTGGGTAAACTTGAGGGTAAACATGTTGGTAAACGTGTAGACAGATGTGTGGGTAAACTTTTGGGTAAACAGTTGGGTAGGTATGTGGGTAAACGTGTGGGTAGATGTGTGGGTAGATGTGTGGGTAGATGTGTGGGTAAATGTGTGGAAAGACGTGTGGGTAGATGTGTGGGTAAACATGTGGGTGAACGTGTGGATAAACGTGTGGGTTAATGTGCGGGTAATCGTAAGAGTAGTTGTGAGGGTAGATGTGTGGGTAAACTTGTGGGTAGATATGTGGGTAAACGTGTGGGTAAATGTGTGAGTAGATGTATGGGTAGATGTGTAAGTAGATGCGAAGGGGTAAAAGTGTGGGTAAATACGTGGGTAAACGTGTGGGTAAGCGTGTGGGTAAATCTGAGGGTAAATGTGTGGATAGATGAGTGGGTAAACGTGTGGGTAAATGTGTGGGTAGATGTTGGTAAACGTGTGGGTAAACGTGTAGGTGAACATGTTATTGAGCGTGTGTGTAGATGTGTGGCTAAATGTGTGGGTAGATGTGTTGGTAGATGTGAGGGTAAACGTATGGGAAAACGTGTGGGTAAACGTGTGGGTAGATGTGAGGGTGAATGTGTGGGTAAATGTGTGGATAAATGTGTGGGTAAATGTGTGGGCCAAAGCATGACAAGTTAATAGAACGACAGCGGAGATGTCTCGTCAAGAGTCTTCATGCAGTCAGTAACATCGATCATGTCAGCCGTGTGTGTGTGTGTGTATGTGTGTGTGTGTGTGTGTGTGTGTGTGTGTGTGTGTGTGTTTGTGTGTGTGTGTGTTTGTGAGTGAGTG